GAGGGGGGAAAGAGCCATGCTGTGCTTCCCTGGCCCGCCGTGGCCTAGCCCAGGGAGGCCATGTGCCCTGCTTTGGGGGAGGCCCTGCCAGCTTGTACTGTACTGCTCCCGGCCTCGCTGGCCCAGTGGCGCGGCCCAACTGGCCTCGGGGAGGGGGAAGACGGCCATACTGCACTTCCCTGGACCACCGCAGCTGCAGGCCGGGCCACTCTCCCACACCCTCTCTCTAGCGACTGTTGCCTTTTTCTCTGCAATGGACCTTATTGCTAGTTTCTCCATAATGGACAGTTTGAATCAGACATCCCACCCTGAACCCGCCTCACTGCACACTCACTCTGTGGTTAACTGTTCAGATTATTGCTGTGTGGTAACCACGGGGTGGGTGGGTGGGCAGCATGCTTTTAAAAAAAATGTATTTCATGCATGTGCAGGAGTGTTCATTCGAATCATCACTCCATTTTGACAGCTCCGCGATCCCTCCTCCAAGTACTGCGGCCCCTCTGAGCCCCCTTTGCTTCACTTTTCTTCCTTGGAATACATGGGGGGAGTGCAGATTTACACGAGAGTAGCCCCATTGACATCAGTACATTGATCCTTGCGTCAATCATGGGATGCTCTCAAATAGCAACTCTGAAGCAGAAACAGAAGACAAGGGGTTTTTTTGGGGGGGGTGTTGCTCAAAAAACCCCTTCCCTGGTAGCTACCAATCCAGAATGACTACTTGGCCACTTGCAGACAGTGACTGACAACACCAGGGGCGATTATGCACTTATGCACACTTCGCTAAGAAATAAAGGGGGGGGGGAAGACAGAACAGAAGGTTCACACTCCCTAATAGCTTGACTTTGCACAACACCTTTCATTGTGAGAGAATGCTTGTACAAAAAATAGTGCTAACACAAGTGATCCCATTTGCACAAATCCAGAATGCAAATGAAACTACAGTTGAATCATTAAATAATCTGTAAGCAACACCTAGGATCCAAGCCTGAGTCTGACTCAGAATCATAGTTTAGGGTTGCCAGACCACAGCCATAGAACATTAAGAAAAGCAATGCTGGATCAGGCCAATGGCCCATCCAGACCAACATTCTGTGTCACACAGTGGCCAAAACCCAGGTATCACAAGGAGGTTCACCAGTGGGGCCAAAGGTTTGTGGCAAAGCCAGAGTTTCTTGCAAATCATACAGCATCCATCACTTCTGGTTTTCACTACCAGTGCTTCAGGTGCCAGCAGGCAAAACAATGGTTGGTTAAGAAATGTTTTTAAATACCCATTTTGGCAGTGGTTAGTTCTAAATCAGGAAGTCTTTAATCTCAGTTGCACATACAGGGAGAGGAAATGCATGAGTTCAGACTGTGTTTTCATAATGAATTAACCAGTGCTGCCTATGTTCATATACTGTTATTTGTTAGGAAAATTAAACATTAAAATAAAATCTGGGATTTAATGTATTATACATACGTCCTCTATCCTGAATAAAATGTACTTTCTTTATTGGAAGGCACCCAGAAGTCCTGTTCATTAATATGATAAAATTAATTATTGTTTCTGTCTCTGGGTGTTCTGCAAAATATTTTTATACATGCTTCTAGAAAACCCTGTTACATAATTAACCATCACAAGGAAACTCTGTCTAAATTGCCTTACTGGAATACTTAATATTCAGTAAACACTCCTAGATCATGACTATGTAAAACAAACTAGAAAAGTATATGCATTAAAAAAGAGCAACTGCTTCTGAACAAGGGGTAGAGTTCCAGTTCAAAATACTATCTCTCGTGTTCTAGAACCAGTACATCAAGTGTAAATTCAAATCTGCAAATCAGAATTTCTATTCTCCAATGTGTCCAGGCAGTAAACACCTTTAAAATACGTTGGGCATTCATTCCAACTTTGTAAGGACATGGTTCCCCTTCCTACAGTACATGTCAAATAATGATCTCTTACCACAAAACTCATGCTATACCACATGGCTCCATTTTTAATACAATGTTATTGAGACCTTGGATGTTACAGAATGTAAGTTGGTTCAACTCTTTCTTTGATGGTTTGGATGGTTGAGCGACCTTTCGGAAATGAGGTTCAAAATGTTATCAGTTTTGAAAGTTATTTGTTGATAGGAATATTTTTGTACATTGGGAGTTGAATAACAGTTTATACCCGGCATGGTTTCCCTCCTGTTCTTATGCAATATTATATAATGTTTGGTATGTTTGATAATTTAAATAATAACATAAAAATAAATTTGAAAATAAAATAAAATAAGTTAGGCACTCCAGGGCTTCTTTTCCATACAATCCATATAATGGATATGACTTTAGTTTGTTGGCACAAATGGTTGCTGAACTTAATCCAAACTGTCCTTGCAAAGACAATCTACATGACTCACGTGAACCACAACTCTGGGGTATCTTAACAGAAGGCAGAGCTGATCCGTGTATTCCACAGTGTTCTCAATACACATGAGATTATGCAACCCCAACAACTGCTGGTTTCCATCACTTTTTTCTTTCTTTCTGCACTGGGTGCTTTTTGTATGCTCCATGTAATCTCAGATTCAAAATGAAATTATTGACACTCTGAACTTGCTTTATGTTACTATAGTGAGCATAAAATTCCACAGTGTGTGAACCAGCATGATGACAATAAATGTCAAAACATCGTGATGAGCATTTCACACTAGTAAAGTACGTTCTGACAGTCCCATGGTAAACCCAGGCTCAGTTCATACATAATGTGGAAACTATGGTTAGTTTGTGAAACCAGGATTAGGTTTGTAAATAATCACTAAAATCCTGGATAGTCTTGAAAGACTCCTCTGTAGACAAAAGTGCACTGGGGAACAAGCCATGATGACTGTGTTGCTGTGTCACTCTAAACCATGGTTAAAGATTAATTTTGTTTAGTACACTGAGTTTAAAAGATAATTTCAGATCCTAATTTGACGTACCCCAGCCAATCATAGTGGGAAAATCCATATTTAACCATCCTAAACATAGTTTGCTTAATTAGACCATGGTTTTGTGTGATATCTGAATGAAGACACAGACTCTTTCAAAATAATAACTAATTGATGATGGCTCTTCCATATCCATTTAAGCTAAAATGTGTGAGATATTAATATGCTTCAGCACAAAATTTGTCCCTATGAAAGACATATTTTCAGATGTATAATACTGAAGAATATTTTCTCACTAAATATTCTGGCAGGAGCAGAAATTATATCTTACAAATGTGGGATCTACGAGGACTTAATGGGAGGCATCTTATTTTCTCCTCCTTCACTATTTCCTTTTTCCCTTCCATGAAAGCCTTTATAGTCTCTCTCCTTTTTTTTTGCTTCCTTCTCTCCTTCTCTCCCATCAGCCAACCTACCTTTATCTGCCCTACTTCAGCTTTCCCTCCTTACCTCCTCCTGGCAGCCTATACCCAGGAAAATTATGGCCCATATGCATGATGGCAGCTACAGGGCTCAGGCACAGTGAAGAACTCTGCAAGGACTTGTGGGGGAAACTTTACTTTGCCCTGTATCCCCTTCCCCACACTATTTCCTCTTTCCTTTCCTCTGGACAACCCCATATCCTCACTTTCCCCTGCTTCCTTCTCTCTTCCCGCCCACCAACCCGCCTTTTGTGTGCCCTCCCATCTTCAGCTCTATTATTTATTTACTTCATTTTATACCCCACCTTTCTCCACAATGGGGACCCAAAGCAGCTTATATCATTTTCCTCTCCCACATTTTATCCTCACAACAATCCTATTACAGTTCTGCAGGGCCTGTAAAACGGAGCTCTTCCGCCACCACTTACATCTGACAGTTATGGAAAGCGAATCCTACCCTCTGGGGTCCCCAACTATAGCCCGACTCGAGCGCCTGGACACCTGAAGGAGATAAGAAGCTGACTGTACGCTGAGGAATCAATGCTAGCACTTTAATAAGTTGTTATACTCATGGTTTTAAATTCGTGATTGATTGGATTTTATATTGTACACTGTATTCTTATATTGTATTTTAATACTGTTTTGTAAGCCACCCTGAGCCGGCCTTGCTGGGAGGGTGGGGTAAAAATCTAATAAATAAATAAATAAACAACTCTGTGCAGTAGCGTAGGCTGAAAATGTGTAACTGCCTCAAGGTCATTCGGTGAGCTTCCACAGCAGAGTGGTGATTTGATCCTAGGTCTCCCAGATCCTGAGGGGCTGCGGTGGCTCAGAGGTTAAGACACTGACCTGCAGACCGGAAGGTCTGTAGTTCAGCAGTTCAAGACCCTAGTGTCACGGGGTAGAGTGAACTCCCATCTCTGGCCCCAGCTACTGCCAACTTAGCAGTTCGAAAGCAAGAAATTGCAAGTAGATAAATAGGTTCGAAAGCAAGAAATTGCAAGTAGATAAATAGGTACCGCTTTGGTGGGAAGGTTTCGTGCACCTCAGCATTTAGTCATGCTGGCCACATGACCACGAAAACATCTCTGGACAGTGCTGGCTCTTCGGCTTGGAAATGGAGATAAGCACCACCCTCCCAGATCCTAGTCTGAAAATGTAACCACTACATCACACTGATTTAGTGGGGTTAATGTTGTTAAACAGTAGCAAAGAGACAGTCCTAGGTGAGTCATGCAAGCTGTATGTTCTCAAATTGCCTGGTGGGTGCTGCCAGGCCTGGTCTGATAAGTCTTCCCTCAAAGGTCAAGACAGCACTGGAAAGCACCTTGCCTTCCTCTCAGTGCCTTCTACTTACGGAAACCAAGACTCCAGCTGGCAACAGTGTGGTGATTGCCTATCAACTCCTACAACTCCCACTGACAGGGCATTCATTTCTTAGAGGTACAGCTGCTACTTCTTTTTTTTAAAAGATGTATTTCCTACAATATTTTTTTTTGGGGGGGGGGTTCTCAGTTTTGTAGAAAAATCTGACTTGTCTGTTCATGGCTCCAGTTTCTGGATTTAAGTATCTACAGGTTGTGCCACGTTGAGAGTTAGATATATTGTTACTTACGTATTTCCATTTTCCAAACATAAGATCATCAGGAACTTCTATACGGCAAGGCAAAATAATGGTATCTCCATATACAGTGTTTACTGTGTACAATCCAAGGCCTATTAAAAAAAAGAAAGGTACATTGAATGCATTGTATTTAAATATTCCTACTTATTTACAGGGTTGAAATATTTGTTTTCAAAATCAGCTATATTCATACAAAAACAATAACACTGGGAAAAATATCCTTTTTTAGTTTTTTTTAACCTGTTATACTGATTCACTGCGAAACATCTCAGCATGTATTTAAAAGGGTAATTCAAGTCCGGGTCAATCCCTAATACTTTCTAAACTTTTTAATTCCACAAGACATTACGACCTTCACTTTTTGCAATACAAAGCAGAATGCTCAATCCAATGATAGGAAATCTATTTGGCTTCTTTTAAATCTAACATACTCTATTGGCCCTTTTCACATTACCGTTCTAAACTGGATGTTATTAGTTGTTGGCCCGATTTCGAGTAAAGCGATCCAGGGATGGGGTTTCATACAACAAATTCCCTTTCCCTTGGAGAGCCAGTTTGATGTAGTGGTTAAGTGTGTGGACTCTAATCTGGGAGAACTGGGTTGGATTCCCCACTCCTCCACTTGGACCTGCTGATGTGACCTTGGGTCAGTCACAAGCTCTGGCACAGCTGTTCTTGAAAAAGAGCAGTTTCTGTCAAACGCTCTCTCAGCCCCACCTACCTCACAGGGTGTCTGTTGTGGGGAGGGGAAGGGAAAGAAGTTTGTAAGCCGCTCTGAGACTCCAAGTGAAGAGCGGGGTATAAATCCAATCTCTTTTTCTTCTTCTTCTTTCATTAATGCACTGTCTCTGAAGTGCTATGGTACTTTCAAATAGTGCTGCTTTTTCCCCACACGACCTTCCTTGGACTTATTTTAAAACATTCTACGGTGATTGCTATATCGCTAAACCGCTGAGATGCATTCAGTCAATGCATCTCAATGGTGCTGCTATAGCGCTCACCTAAGAATGTTTTTTTAAAAGTCAGAGGAAGATTGTGTTGTGAAAAAGGGGTGGGGGGAAGCGGCATTGTAGGAAGCACTACAGACATTTTAAACAGCACACCACAGTGATTCAGAAGTGCAATGAAGGGGATGAAAATGGAAGAAAGCAGTTTCCCTCAAAAGTGGCTCAACCACACTTTGCTAACCAGACGCAAGCAGGTTTGTATGAACAGGTAAACAGATTCTGCTAGCAGCTGTTTACTAAAACAGGTCTGTCTGAAATGACAGAAAAAATCAATTAGCAACCAGTTACTAAAACAGAATACTGTCAGCTATGGGGGTTGCGATGGTCAGGCAGAGTCAGTGTAATTGCTATTGCATTCCTTTCTATGCTTCGCGCTGAAATGCTTATCTGTAACAATGTGCAGGTGGGAGTTGTGTTGTCTGCTTTTTTCCAGGGAGCCGTGGGAGAAGGCGAGTTCCCAGCTTCGGCTAGAAACCGTTTGCTAGCTTTATTCCGCGCGCGGGAGGGTGCCTAATTGGCCAGCGCAGTGGGGGGGGGTGCATACAAATACCCTATATCTTATTATGTCCAAGGGGCAACTGCCATTCTTAACAGTGCCTATGTTAACGCATCTATAGCTCTTCAATAAAAGTATAACCTTTCCTGAAAGCGTGTACTCTGTTGTTGGCTGTGGGTTCTGACAAATACAAAGGAAATTTGAAAAGGGTCTATGTCAATTCAAGTTTCATTTATACAGCCTGCCCATCTTGAACTACTAACAAATTCTTCAGCAGTCTATGTGTACTGATTCAACTGCACTGTAGTTAACGAAATAGCATGAAGTGTATTAAAATATATTATATTGTAAATTCCTTTGGCAATGAATGAATACAGTGGTATAAAATTATTCAATTACAGAGTGTGTCAGAGTAGTAATAGAAATTTTAAAAAATCTTGAAAGTAGTCTGGATAGTTGTCTGAGCATTATACTAACAAGAAAGTGGTGTCTTGGGGATCACTATTAAGCAGGCATGTTCAGAATTCTTCTCAGGTCTATTCAATGGGATTTATTCCCAGGAAAGTGTTGAACTCCTAGTAACAAGGACATAATATGCACAAAACTTGCAAAGGTCACAGAAGAAGAATAACTATTTTTTAAAAAAAAGTCTTTCACTTTTCATTAGAAATTTCCAAAGCAGCTAACAATATATTTTAAAACAATATAAAGTAAAATAACAGTAAAAATATCAAGGAATTTTAATACAGAAACCAGATACAATTTTATTCACAAAAGGAATACAGTGTGACCCAGCCAAAACAAGACTCAAAAACCTTCTTAGGAAATAAGATTTTATTTTCCATAAGTAAAGGAAGTGCATTTCCTCAGGTAAGGGATTCCACAAGTTCAGAGTTACCACTATGTGAACCCCAACCCCCGCCGAGCCTGTGCTGGTGGGGGGCTGCCTTGCCTCTGTGAGAGGCATGAAGACTAAAGAACCAACAGGGGGCAGAGCCAGCCTGTCTAGGCTTGGCTCCTGCCCCCTGCCTTACAGTCAGTCGATAGAGCTCGGCCCACCCTCCCACCCTATTTTAGTGCAGGTCTGACCAGTTGCCTTTTTATGGAGCCAGGTAGGAATTTTTCACCTCCATCGGTTTGGCCTATGTATGGAGGTGTTTTTGCCTACCTTGCAGGGGTGTGGGGGTGGGGGGGGGGGGCGGGTTGTTAAATAGTATTGTCACTTTAGTGTTTGGTGGGGTAGTGTGAGCAGGATGAAAATGGTGAGCACCGGGGCATTGTTATAAAGGAAATAAAGGGTCCTCCAAAAATGGCTTTCGGGCCTTTGCGGCTCAAGGCCGGGAAGGGGTGATCTTCCTTGGAACAATCTAGCTCAGCCAACCTTTGCGGGCCTTTGCGGCTTCTGGGGTGGTGGGTCAGGGGTTCTCTTGAACATGCTACGCTGCTGGTCGAAAGCTACCTTCGGTGGCTTGAGATCAGAGCAGGTGCATCACCCAGAAGGAAATGAAGGTGGTCAGGAGTTTGACACCTGTCATATTCCTCAGTACATTTCTGGTAACCCCTCACTAGTATTTGTTGTTATTAAATCATTCATAAAGTGGCCCTTGTTAAATTTATATTGGTGTCTGTCTCTTTATTCCGACTGGGGGGGCAAAGAAAGATTTTCAGAACTCTCTGAATTCCCTTAGTTTTAACTTTCTTTTTACTAGATAATCTAACATGAATGCTCCTCCACCTCAGGGGAGGAAAATCCAGTTTGTTATTCTGTCTGGTGGCAACATTCTCATAGGGAACAAACATGAAATCCACATATTGCTTAAGTCAGACCTGAGAGGATTCACAATACATGCAACAGAAGGTCTTAACAGTCAAAAGAAGTGGCTACAGAACAGATGGTTTCATTCAGATTATTTCCTCTTCAGAACACGGTAACCTTTATCTACACAGAGGAAGATTGATCTTTCATACTCCGTAAGACACTTTGGTCATCAGAGCATTTCACCCTACTTTAACGAATGTGAAAAAACTACAGATTGCTATCACTATAACAAAGGAAATAAATTAGAAAACACTGTAAGAGCACTCCCAAAACATTTTAAAATGGATTTCTCCAATGCTTGAACCACTACAACTGTATGAAAACAAGGGTGTTGTGATTTTTATTAGCAATATATCAGTTCATTCAAAATTAATGAGAATGGTATTGAGACCCTTTCCCCTTGTCTGGAGAAAACTGCAGGTGGCATATTCTTCAACGGACAGTCCCTAATTATTTGATACTTACCCACAGTAAACAAATGTCCTGTTTTTGTTTTTTTAAAAAACATTGGCGAGATTAAAAGGTGTACTAGTTTTTGTCCTCTAATTCTAGATCTGCTTATCCAATTGTAAATGTTGCTGAAGAAATTTGAGTTCTACTGTTTTGAGTGACTTGGGGAAATGGCATATACATATTTTAAATTCTCCCTCTAATCTATGGAGTTTGGTGAGCAAAAATTCTGCTTTGTGAGCTACTGGTATTAAAGTTGTGAGTGAGCGATTTGGCTACTGCATAAATTAGTTTGCTCTGGAGCCATCTTTCCTGAGCCAAGACAAAAATCTGTGAGCTGGAGGCTAAAAAACTGTGAGCTAGCTCACACTAATCAGCTTAGAGGGAACACTGAATACAATGTATAAACAAGCACAATACAATTCATTATGAGGACAAGCATTAAACATTTAAGTTTTAGACTGGGACCAATCAGGGCTTCATTTTTGTTTTTTTTTAAAAAGGCTAGTATCCAATAGAAGTGGTTGACCAGTGTAAAGACATTGGTATTAATGGAATGGCACTTCTGTTGGCAGAAGAGTAGGGTACTATTTGCTGATTCCCCTTCATCAGGCACCAATTCCCCTTCGCCCTCCATAGAGTGGCCAATCTGGAGATCTCCTGGAATTACAACTGACATCCATACTACAAAAATCAGTTCCCTAGAGAATATGGCTGCTTTGGAGGGTGCACTGTATGGCATCATAGCCCACTGAGACGCTTCTCCTCCTCAAACCCTGTTCTTCCCAGGCTCCCCCCATATCGCTAGGAATTTCTCAACCTGAAGTGGCAACCTTCATCAGTCCCCATGCTATTCATGAAGGTTATTATCCCAGGGTCTAGAATTTGGGAGTGGAACTCACTGGGAAGGAAAATGAAATACAACCTATACAGGAGGGGAAATTTTAAATTAGTCAGGGAAAAGCAGGATTGAACCTGCTGGCTCTGCCTCAATTGCTGCATGTTCTTCTAACCTGTATAGGCTGTAAAAGCTATGTACAAAATCTTAGGTGAATTTTGGGCATACAACAAGCACCTTCCTTAGCTCTTCCTATGTCTGTCTGTCTGTCTGTCTGTCTGTCTATCTAAAATATTGCCAAGAAAGGGTATAAATAGGATGCTATTTATACCCTTTCTTGGCAATATTTTATATATGAAACTAGGAACATTTCTTTCATTCATTCATTCATTCATTCATTCATTCATTTATTTATTTAAAGTTCAATTTATATATTGCCCTTCTCTGAGTTCACAGGGCTCAGGGCGGTTGACAACAACAAA